GTACTCCTAACAGTCCTGCAGCCTCCCGAGGATAAGTACAGACGTCTCCGTACCGATCCGCGAGACTCTACTAGACTTGCTCAAGACTCGTGAGACCCTGGGAACCTAGTGCTCTGATACCATGTAGTCAAGACCCAATTCCACTACGGGTCGTGATGGCGCCGGACACCGTTGTCAGGCAAGCCAACTAAATTATCAATTAAATCCTCTTTTAATACCTTTGAAAATCTAAGGGTTTTCCTTCCATTTTTCATATATAAAACAATCTCTGTTTCGATTCGAATTAAGAAATAACTATTAATACACATCTTTCGAAAAACCATCCCAGAACCCGGTGTTACAAGTGCATGAGCAACTACTGATAAGGAAAATAAAATACAATATCTGTCCGAAGTACAGTGGACAGGAAATAAATAAATAAAGTACTGGAAGGGAACTACACTAGCTGCGGGTCGCCTCGAACAATGCAGCTCACCTAGTTCCCAAATTATCCGTGCTGCTATCAAATGTAAATTATACTTGTGCAACAAAAATGCACAGAAGTATAGTATGAGTACGTAATCAACGTGTACTCAGTGAGTATCCCACCTAACCTCGAAGGGGTAGAGACGAGATGGTCAACCTAGACACTCGCTAGCGGTCCAATAATAATAATACACTAACTGTGTGAGAAAAACATGACTTCATATAGCAAGTTCTAATTCACAAGCGGTAAAGCAAGTAAACACCTCTTAATAATTAACAAGGATTTTTCAAGAATTTACTTTTTATTATCTTATCAATCTATATTAGGCCACGAAGGGCAATTCCACGTTTAAAATTCCCAAGCGACAAATAACATGCGCAAATTACACCGAGGCGACGGCCCGATCCAACAGAAATGTAAACTGTGCACTGCCGAGGGTCGAACGGCACGAACCATAGATGCATCTATTTAATCTGCCGAGGCGTTCGGCCCGTTCCATAAATAAACACATACCCTGCTTGCAAATCATGCATGCGACACAGGTACACATAGAGATACATGCTCAATCAGTCAATTAGAAACTTATCAGGGATATTTATCCAATTAAAATAATTTCTCTTTTTAACAATTCAGGAAAATGAGGTTTAATCTCCTTTTATATTCATTTACTAATCCAAGGTGATTTAAGCAATTCGAGCTACCAGTGGGTTCATAAATAATCCAAGTATAACATGCTTATGGGTCCTAACTACCCGGACAATAGCATAATAGTAGCTACGCACGGACTCTCGTCACCTCGTGCGTACGTAGCCCCCACAATTAGGAGCACATAATCAATTATTACACCTATGAGGACATTTCCCTCCGACTGCTGAACGGCGCGCTAGGACTCAAAACGACCGGTCGGGTCGTTACAGGGAAAATATTAGGGATTATGTAGTCATCTATTTTGTGTATATATCTTGACATTTTCTGTCTGGTTTTGAGGGAAGAGCGGATGGATTGTGGAAATATGGTATTAAAGCTTCTGTTTGAGTCAAATCATGCTTCTTGGTGGCCCTTAGGAATTTGTTTGATCGGATAATGGCACTTTAAATATGTGTTGTTGGCTGTGCTCTGATAATAACGTAAAAGCTCCGCAAACCTCTTATTTCAGTCTTTGCTTCTAAACTCTTTTTAAATAGCTCTGCCAAGGGGAATATTGTGAAGGTGAAAACAAATGTCAAGGATCTGTTTGCTAGGAGCATATGTTTCTCTAACACTTTTTTGGTTTTAGTTTATATGATCTGTTTCGCTCATTCCTCTCTAGAGAACTGAGCTGATCCTCTCTTTCCCATAGGTAGTAGGAAAGTGAGCGGGATGATGAAAAGGAGGAGCTTTTAAAGTGAAATTTCAAAATGCATGAAAAGGCTAACAGCTAATCATATTGTGTAGGTATGCGAGTGGCAGAGGATTAAGCTTGGCTGTCAGTTCTTATGCATGAATGTTATATATAATGTCATAGGATTAGCATTTTTAATTCCAATCAGTCGAAACAAATAATGAAGGTTATTCCCTAACAGGAACAATATAGCACTTAGCTTACTTACTGATAAGAGAAGCAACAATACTCAAACAAACAAGACTTTCTTTTGTAATATCAATCCTCTGCAGCAGTCCGGGAACTACTATATCATTCCCTCAAATGCTATTCTTCCTTAAATTAGCTGCCAATGAATGATAGTGCGTCCAAGTAGCAGTTTGTTAATGTAGCTTGCTGCAAAAATATTGATGCAAAGTTTCTCAGGATAGTGCAAAAATCCTTTTTTCCTTCATATTTTTGGTGTTCTGTTTCATCTTCTGCTGCTGCTAGTTGCTATTCTGAGCCGAGGGTTTATTGGAAATAGTCTCTCTACCTTCACTAGGTAGGGGTAAGGTCTGTGTACACACTACCCTCCCCAGACCTCACATGTGGGATTATAATGGATATGTTGTTGGGTATGTTGTTGTTGTTCTGCTGCTAGTTGCTCGTGACTGCTTTTTTATGCTTGTAGTTATCTCATGTTCTCTATAAAAACTAATAGATATTACATCTAATGAATAACTAAAATTATATAGTATTTTTGGTATAATTCTACAAATCAATGGCACCAGGAGGACGTGTCTCTAGACAAACCACAATTACAGTTGCTTCTACTCAAGCAAGCCGATCATCTGATCCATCAAATAATAATAATTCTACTCCTAATACAGGTAATACGTACGTTTTATTATATTAAGTGGGAGTGTATCTATTAGTTATTGTTTGTTCTCCTTTTTTCTGATGTTTATTGCTTATTGTTGTCAGTATACTCCTATTTTTTGTTGTTTATTATTATGGATTTTTTTGGCTTGTTCTATGCATTCCATGTGGTTTTCCTATATGCAGCAACTATATCCTACACTTTCTAATTTAGACTTTTGGTAGTACTTATTTTACTGAAACCTTTGTTGTAAAATTGAAGTAATTTCTTATGGTTGGGTCAATTCCATTCCAATTCGAAGGTATATTGGGGATTTTCATTTATGTGGAAGTCATTATCTTATAAATTACATTGCACCCATTCTTTCTTATTGGTTTTAGTAGATACTAAGGGTAGCGAAGAACTGCACACCTACTGCAAAATTGTTCTTGAGTTTATCTTAATAAAACAAATGGATTGTGTTTAAAAGAGGGGATGTAAACAAAGTTTCTGATTGTCGCCCAATAAGAAATTGCAATAAATTCTTACTTTCCTAGACTGAAAAGAGCTATCTTTATATTCCAGTATCTAGGATTCTTTTGTGTTTAAGTTGGAACCAAATATATTAACATTTGAAACATTCATTAATGTTAAACTTGTAACAATAGAGTTTTTATTTGTAGCATAGCAATTAATTACTGTATATATACATGGTTACCATTTCGGAATTTTAGCAAGTTTTTAAATTGACTTTTACTTTTTAAAATCAGATGATTCAACTAGAACCAGGAAAGGTTGTGGAAGGACAATTGGAAAAGGTCTTGAGAAAATGAAGAAGTCTATGGGAAGAAAGATGGTTATAGACATACAGTTGGTAAAGGAAGGCCAGTTGAGGCAATTCCATCAGCGAAGCTATCAAATGAATTAGGAATTATTGCTCGCAACTTTCTTTCGCTTCCAAACAAGTGGAAGGAACTCACAAGAGAGGATAAGGATGCAGCATTAGTTAGATGCCATGTAAGGATTCTTTTTTTTTTTCTTTTGTGATAGATAATTAATGTCACTTAAACCATAAGGTAGATGAAATTACACACCAAGTTTTTTTATCCAAAATATAAACCAACGAAGTAGAGGAGAATTCATGCATCTTGTCAGAACTAGCAAAAATGATGACAGAAACACGAGCATCACAAAGAACACTAATTTCCTTAGATTTTTTCAAGATCTCATTTCTTGTTTTTGAGTAAGTCGCCTGCCTGTTTCTTGAGTTCTCTATTCTTTTGATCTCTATATTTCCTCTCCCCATTTTTTCTTTTCTCTTATTGTTGCCATGTAAGGATTCTATATTTTGGTAAATTTTATTACATTGTAAATATGTTAGATTTTAATCTTTGCTGAGCAAAGGAAATTTTGATTGTTTTGTGAGTGTCTTCAAAACTTCTCATTTTGCAGGAGAAGTTTGAAATAAACTTGGACGAGCATTACACCAAAGATAGCTGTGAGGATATTCTGAAAAATAGAAGCCGACAATGGCGCTACAAATTAAAAAAGCTATTTGAAAGTGCAAGCTCCAAGGAAGAGGCTCGTAAAATTGAAGTGCCAGAGTTGACCCCGGAAAATTGGAACAGGCTTTGTGACATGTGGGCGAATCCAGAGCATAAGGTAATTTCTATTCATATTTGTCTCGTTGTAATTTTTTCTGGCAACCAACATTCACGATTTCTCCAAGAAATAGGTAATTTAAGTAATTAAGTATACGAACAAACAAAATGTAGAAAAGATATTTTCAGCAACATGTTTACTCAGTGGTCTTGGTTTCATACTGCACAACTGATGAAGTAACTGATTGTTTGGTTTTGGATTTGGATGTGCCCTTGAACTGTAAACTGTTAAGTCAGGTGTCTTAAGCCAAGTTGAATGTCAGGGATCAAGCCACTCTTTGGTGTTGTGTGTTGGCTAATCAATACAGTAAAATTAGGTCTAAACAGGATATTTGTGAAAAATAAGATGATTTCTTATAATGCTTATCTGTCAAAGGAAGGGCTTCTTTTCCCCACCTAGCCATTTACAATGTCCATAGTCACTATCCATGTTAGTTATGTCACGTAGAAATCATCTTTCAGCAAATAATTCAAGTTGTTGAATCATCTAAGCTACAAGATCCATCAAACTTATGATATTTGCTATTCAAATCTCTCATCGTATTATATTTGTCTATTCTACTCTTGTCGTTTTTTGCATTGTGGGTTTGGAACTGTTGAAACTGTCCTTTTTTTTGGTCAGCAATCTGAGAGGAATCAATAGCTGAGTTTTCAACTAAATGCAAAATTGTCTTACGAGAAACTTCTGTCTGCAGATGTAACTATTGTAAATGATGGTCGTTTACAGTGTCTTCAAACAAGACAATATATTGCTAATAAGGAAACAAAACGAACAGCAGCTTAAGGTTTTCCTCCGCCACCACGCTGTTGCGTGCCCTCCCTCTCGATAAATAAAAATGTCCAGAAAAGGTGAAAGTTCTTACCGTTTCTTAGAACCATTTTTGGGTAGTCTGATTCACCAATGGATCCATCAACTTCAGCACTAGAAGAAACAAGCACAAAAAAAGAAAAAGGAAAACAGAGGTCAAAACTATAACAATAAATAGAAGAATCAGGCACATGAAAGACTGAAAATTATATCAATAGAAACTTAGCAGAATGCACAAACTTGAACCAGAAAGCAAAAAATCCTTCATGATGTATACTGTTAACTCCCCGCTGATCTATCGAAAATTTTCATACAGCAATAGCTACATCAATTCAGAAATTTTAAATCACGTGCACTGAACACATCCAGCGACAATCAAGCAAATTTTAGTCATTCAATTGGGTACTAGAAACATTGCTTTATTTGTTTTCTCATCATTGTGAATTTTAGAGTAACTTTTATGTTTATCTGCATTTAAATGTATAGATGGTGAATGTTGAGTAACTTTTATACTTATATTTATATATTCTTTGTAGAGACGATTCGAGATAAACAAGGTCAATCGAACAAAGCTGAAATCTAATCATTTCATGGGGTCAAGAGCTTTTGTAGCTGCTCGTGCTGAAATAGTAAGTTATACTATTTTTACTTTTGGTAACTTTTCCAATACCTTTGCTTGTGAAAGCTTATGAAATTAAAAGTCACATACATATACTTTTATATCCCCGTTTATGGGAACATGAGTCTTTTTTCAACTTTTCATTAAGCATAAGACTATATCTCTACTAACTTACATCTGACTTCTATTAACTCATAAAACTAGTTTCCAGTTTTCCATCATACAATAGATAGCTGCATAATATAAAGAACCATGATCCTATTAGACAATACATTCATTACCTTTTGTTGAACTTGTAATCTAATCATGTTAATGTGGTTGGGGTTCAATCACCCTCCATATTCATTACTAAGATAATATTTTAGTAATATTTCATATTATTTTCATACTGTGTAGGGTGTGAATGAACATGGAGGAGTAGAGCCAAATAGGATTGAGTTCTACAAAAGCACCCATTACTCGAGTGAAAAAGGATGGTCATCTCCAGAGGCTGAGACTAACTACGTAAGTAATATTTTAGTACAATGTCACATGTATTCAAGGAGCTTTTAATATTTTAGGCTCAGAGCTTTTACTTTGTCGTTGGAGGTTTCCTCCCGTTCTTCTGTTCCTTTTTCTCTTTTTTGGGAACCCCTCATCTTGCCTTCTTCTGTCATATTACCAATCTTCCCCTTTATCCAACAGTCTTTAACCAGCATACCCTCTCTTAACTATACTCTTCCTTACTCGCTCAAGTAATACGACATATGTTCTGCCGTGTAGCCTTCTGATGGCTCGATCTCGGCAGTGGCCGAGATACTCGTCGCTATTACGCCTCGTGGGTACGACTATGGCTTGGTCGACCCCTTATCATTCCTTTAATGATAATCTATTTGTGGTCAGATTTTGATCCATACACTAATGTTATTCTAAAAAAAAGGCATAAATGATCATTTTGCGCAGGTCATCGCGCATATATGAAGAAATATAGAAAAGGAATAACATTAACTTGGAAACAATCTAATCTCATTTTGAAAGGCAACCATTCTTTTTTGGAATGGATGAAGTATTTGTTTATCTCCCACAATAGTAGATTAATAACACAACTTCAACTTTTGTGCATGAACTCGAACAAATAAGAAATTATGTTGGCTTAGTAAGCAGTTAATTACAAGTGTTTGTGGTTTAGATATTCGACTCTAAGTTAATTTATTACTTGTTAATCACGTATATTTGCATACGCATTGTGAGAGCAACATCTTGCAAGGCGGCACACCATCTCAATAATAAAATCTATTTTAAATGGTAAAAATAAGATATTGAAGGTCTGTTAGTTATGAGGGGCAAAATCAGAGCTATTTCACTTGTGATAAGGCTAGATTTGGAACCAAATTCAAGTGAATGGCATTTTTTTTTTCTATTTCCATAGTTGAAGGATAAATTTGAGCTAATCCAGTAATAATAAGGGTAATATTTGAGACCAAATTCAAAATAAAGGTAAAACATTTTATTTCTCATAATTAAAAGGCTTTTTTGACCATTTTTCATTTTTTTTCCATCAAACAACTCATAATTTTGTGACGGCGAATTATGAGAAATGGCTGAATGGATCCTTTTTTTTTTTTTTTTTGGGTGTACAACTTACTGGTGCTGTGTACTATCTTTTTTCTATTTTTTTATTTTATACTAAATGTTACTCTCTTCGATCTACTTTAATTGATTTTTTTGTTGTTTCCACACATAGTAAAGAATTTACCTTTTAGCATTAATTAACTATAAAATTGACCATGTTAACGTTAATTTGTTCATTGAAAATATAATAAATACTCTTAGGCTCTATACCCCAAGAGCAACTTTGAAAAAAAAAAGTCAATTCCTTCTTGATATCCGAAAAAATCAAATATTATAAACCACGTAAAATACCAAAAAAAGTGGATCGGGGAGTAAGACATTACCGACTCTATAACACGGATGGACCAACTACTGCTTTAGTATAAGACTCCCATGTGGCAGAATCGCATCAGCCGCCGCCGAGATTTCCTCCAATTAATTGAAATATCTGCTGTGCCATTGCCCCTGGCTCGTCTTAAAGGTCCATTTACTCGATACAGAGTTGGTCCTGGATATTAGTCCTTTCAATAAATTTAATTTAATTTAATTTATTTTCAAATATTTTATATTTTAGAATAACGTATAAAATATGATTATTTCCACTCGAAAATAAGAGAAAACGATATTGTATTGATATTCACTTGTCTCTACAGTAGAGTAACTATCCTTTCTATTATCAAGTTCGACCAAGCTGGCCTACATTTGCCCTTTTCAACTGACAAAAACTAATTAATAATTTAGCACCACAAATCGCCTAAAGTTAACCGAAAAAGTCATAAATGATCTGTTTGCACAGGACATCTCGTATATCTGAACCTTCTTCTCAAGAAAAAAGAAAACGAAAACATATTAACTTGGAAAAAATCTAATATCATTTTAAAAGTTAATCTATAAATAGATAAATAAATAAAATAGACTACAACACAATAGTGCAAAGGGAGCTCTAGGCTGAGAGAGTTGGGTCCTGAAACATATGGACGTTGACGGGAAAGTATATAGAGTTAGGTAAGATTCTCCAGAAAAGGAAGATCAACATAGCATGTGTCCAGGAGACTAGATGGGTAGGTACTAAGGCTCGTGATGTAGACGGGTGGTACTCCGGACGCATTGGGGGACAAGAACGCGGTAGGTATTTTAGTTGACAGGAAACTCAGGGAGTAAGTGGGCGAGGTTAGGAGGGTAAACGATAGGTTGATAAGTATTAAGCTTGTAGTTGGAGGGTTTACTATAAACGTGGTTAGCGCATACGCCCCTCAGGTAGGATTGGACCAGGAAGTCAAGAGGCAATTTTGGGAGGACTTGGATGAGGTGGTGCATAGTATCCCGGACTGTGAGAAACTTTTCATTGGAGGGGACTTCAATGGCCATATTGGGGCTGATGCTAGGGTTTATGATGGCGTGCATGGCCGGTTTGATTTTGGGGTTAGGAATGAGGAAGGTACGTACCTCACTGTTAGATTTCGCTAGAGCTTTTGACTTGGTGATAGCCAACTCGAGTTTCCTGAGGAGGGAGGAGCACCTGGTCACCTTTCAGTATTCGGTGAACAAGACACAGATTGATTACCTTCTCTACAAGAAATGCGATAAAGGTCTATGCACTGATTGCAAGGTCATCCCGAGCGAGAACCTCATGACCCAAGAAGTACTAGGGAGAGGTGATTAGGCAGGACATGGCGCGGCTTCAACTCACTGAGGACATGACCCTTGATAGGAGGGTGTGGGGGTAGAGGATTAGGTCAGACGGTTAGTAGGTAGCTGAGAGATTCCTCCTTTCTTACTAATAGTACTAGTAGCTCGCTTGTACTTTCCTATTTCTCAGATATATATTGCATCATGTTGTTTAGTTTGTTTTAGTTATCGTATTCTTCTGCTGTTGCTATTTTGGTACTACTTATTCCCCCCCCCCCCCCCATTTTCTATCCCTCTCCTTCTTTCTTTTTCTTTCTCTTTTCCCCCTCTTCTTCTTCTTTCTTGTCACACCTCCTTTTTACCACCCCAAAAGGGTGTAATGAGGGAGTTTGTCCAATTTAAGTGACAATCGAAACAGGATTATTTTTTAAGTTCAGAGTCGCCACTTGGGATAATTTATGGTGTCCAAATCACCGATTTAAATCCCGGATCGAGGAAGATTGACTCTGTTTTCAGTCCGCGAACACAGAAATCCGAGTAAGGAATTCTGTTAACCCGGGAGAAGGTGTTAGGCATTCCCGGATTCCGTGATTTTAGCACGTCGCTCAACTGTTATTATTGGTCTATTATCTGATTTTAATACATATTTTAGCCTATGGTATATTTTAACTTATTAAGCCGCTTTTTTATTATTCTTAGGAAGATTTAACGTTATTTAAAACACGTCTTGAACCACGCCACATGAAATGCACCCGCTGTCCATGACACATTTTATCTAACGTTGTTGAGATTTGGATTTGGGTCACATGAAATGCACACCCGAGTTTAAGGAAGTTAATTTAAATTACGCGCCTAAAGCAACTACGCACTTTCAAGTTTGCAAGGGCCATGAAAAATTTGACTAAATGGCACGCCTCGATTTCTAAAGGGTTAAAGTTAATTATTCGAGGGCCATGGGTTATCTAATTTTGTTTATGGCACGCCTCGAGTCTAAATAAAGATCCTAGTTGATTAATTAAAAGGCTAAAGGGATTTCGAATTTATTTAAAGCAGATGTCTAGGCTTAATTGATAATCAGCGGATTGCAATTGTAAAACTACTCAAATCATTTCGAAGATAATTTGGGCCAGCAGCAATCCTCAACTAAGATGACCATATCGAAGAGAAAGAGGCCCACACATGATAAAGCATACAATTGTCTAATTCACAAAGGCCTTCAGGCTTGAACCAGGTCTGCCGTGGTCAACACTTAGCAGCAGCAATTGAATGAGCTACTGGGCTTGAGAACAAGGCCCAAGCAGCGTATGATAAACAATTCCTATTCACAGTTGACATTAAGTCCAATGCTCAAAACAATTCTGATTTCTCAAATGACCTTAATCCCAGGTTCAAAGTAAATTTATACTCATGACAAAGTAATGAAGACTGATTAATGGCAACACTTAAAATTTGACAGACCTTTTGACCTTACTGATTAACGACACATGATCACTATAATGTGAACAATAGGCTCTAAATGCTACAAAACTAAATCACATATCTAAAGTAAACTCTGTATTTGAATCCAAATGCTGATGACATGAAAGCAGAATTATGCAGCATTTCACTTCATACAATTCCCAAACTAACCCAACAATTACAATGAGCTTTAATCCAAACTTCTTTCATATAAGCAATGAGCAACATCTTGTAAGATCAGCAGGCCAACTATTTTAAATCCCAAAATCTACAGCTTTCAGTAGAAAACAAACAAAGACCAAACATCAAACATTTTATACCACATCCACAACAAAGAAACTAATAGAATTCACCTAAAATTAAAATATTACAAGATGTGAGTAGATGGATAAACAGGGAAAAAAAAGAAGTCAGTAACTCGAATAATTTTCATCATAAATCCATGTTCACGTTTGCACATTACACTTCAAAAGTCAGCCATTATTCGAGAAGTACCTGGAATGCAATAGAGAAACAAAGAGGAATGAGGAGTTATCAGCAGCAGCGAAAAGGTGCAAATAAGCAAATCAACAACAGCAAATTCAACTTTCTTAAACCATTTCGAACCCAGAATGAGTCAAAGATTACCTTATACTTTAAAACCCAAAGAATTACACAAAAAGCTTCAATGTAACAGTATTTTGTGATTGGTTTTTTTGTATTTTTCTTCTTATTCTTCAAACTTTTTAGTGTTTAGTATTTTCAGCCGTTTCTAATTTCTAAGCTCTTCTTCTCCTCCTTGAAAATTTAGGAAATAGGACCTTTATAGAGGGGTTATAGGGCAGCAGTAGTTAGTTTCCAAACTTACCATTTACCCCTTCCCCAAATTCCCTTTATTCAATTCAGACCCTAATTTAAAATCAGTTTTGCAAACCAGTCCCTTCTCCCACTTTTCCGGCAGCTTCCTTAGTTAGTTATGCAAGATTCCCTAAGCTAAACTACCCAAAATACCCTTTAAACCCCTGCTATTTACATCAAAAACCAAAACAGATACGGGTCAATGTTGACCAAAGGTCCAACCCTAAACCTGGGCTTTGCAAAACCCGTATTGAATCTCTTTCTTGGGTTTCTGATTCAAAGCCCAATTTCAATCAGAAATCATGAAATTAATGGGCCACGTGGAATTTTCCAAGAAAAAATTCGGAGTTCCTATCTATGAAAACCAACAAAAGAAATGAAATGATACAAAAGAACAAAGAAATTAAAACATGAACTACCAAACTTTAATTTTAAACATGCGAGCAGAACTGATTCAAAACGAAAAATAAAATAAATAAAAAAATAACAGAGAAAACAGACGAGACGGAGCAGGAAGAGAAAAAGTTTGGAACCAAATGATGGATATAAATTATTCATATATTTTAATATAAAAATATAATATTTTAGATATAAAACATGACCAATTTATATCCTATTCTCGCGCTTTTCTAACAATTCGTGCAGGAAAAAGAATACATAGAAAAAGAGAAAAAGAAAGATCTACGGTTCAAGGAAGAAGGATGCATCCGTGACAACTTCATCTAAAACTTTATAAAATCAAGAGATACAAAAGTTATGGCAAATTCTCACCAAAATTTCATGACAAATTGCCATGTCAATTTCTCATCAAGGCCATATGATATATTAATATTATATTGCAATTTCTCACCAAGGCCTTGCAGGAATTTTCCTATAAATAGCCATATATTTGTAGATGAAAAAGGCATCCCTCTTTGTATCCAATTTTCTATCTAGTTTTTTCTAAGTTTCTAAAGAGAAAGAGAAGAGTAATCTTGGTCTCTTCCTCTAATATTTCTCTTTGTAGTAAAAATATTTTTAGTCTTTTGAAAGTATTTTTTAGCTTTTCTTACTTCATAATGGAGTAATTTCTTTTTGTTGGGATAGTTGATGAAGCTTGATATAATTATAATACTATCTCAGTTCAATACATTCTTGGCCTGAAACTCTATATACATTTCATATTGTGATGGAATGATGATTTTTTAATTATTATTATCACATCTACATATTTTATATCTAAGTTATTCTTATATTAATTTTGTAATTCTCACGGAGCAAAATTAATATATAATAACTGATGAATAGAATATTAGAGTGAAAGTAATTTTTAATAAGATTATTATTTCAAGTCTATAATCTTGCTTTCCTCAATTTTAATTCTCACGGAGAAATTGTTGAAGGCAAGATTATTGATTTTCTAGTAAAAATATTCTCACAAAGTTTTTACTACACTTGAGCACAAAATATGAAAGTTAAAATAATTTTTAGTAAGATTATTGTTTCAAGCCTGTAATCTTGCTTTCCCCAGTTTTAATTCTCATGGAGAAATTGTTGAAGGCAAGATTATTGATTTTCTAGTAAAAATATTCTCACGAAGTTTTTACTACGCTTGAGCACAATTCAGGCAAGATATTTCAGTTTAATCGTCACTAGTTTTAAATCAAATGATTGACATAACCTCGCGGAGTGATAATTATTTATTTATTTCTTAGTGTAAAAATATAATTGTATTAGCAATAAGCAATTATTCTTTAGAGAAATACGTATGAACCTGAGATTTTATTGTAATGATATATCAAGTCAATTCAACGATTCCCAACTCTTTTTAAATATAAACTTTTCAGAAGAAATTTGTCTTAATTTATAATTTCAAACACACCTCTCATCAATTTGGTTCTCTCAAATAGTAGTCAAAATATTACAAGTCTGTAGCTTAGATTGTCCAATCTCTGTGGGACGATATCATAAACTATACTAGAATTTGACAGAGTACGAGCAGAAAATCCTATACACATAAGCTTCGTCAAATTTTTGGCGTCGTTGCCGGGATTGGCTCACATCTACTTCAGATTAAATATTTTATTATTAATTTGAGAATTTATTATTATTGTTAATTTTTCCTTCAAACTGTTATCTCCTACATACTGCTATCATAATTGTATTATTATTAGGAGCAATTCTATATAATATTGAAAAAAAAAAAGCATATAAAAAAAGAGAAAAAAAGAAATCCCTCATAATTAGTACTTCAACCCACTCTATTTTATATTTTATTATTATATTATTATTGTTAGTACTAACATCTATATAATAGTATAATATATTAGTTTTGTGATTCACAATCTCATTTTTTTATTTGTCATTTTTAAGTATATTTTATTATTTTTATTATTATTATAATTGGTAGTACTTGTTTTTACTATTCTAGTTCTAAAAGTATCCTTTGTACTATTCTATATTACTATTATAACTATTACTTTCACTATATTTTTATAAGATAATATTTTATTCAATTTTTTTTATTTGATAGTACTTTAATCTTTCAACATACTTGATTTATTATTGATTTTTTTTTCATATAATATAATTAGTATTATATTATTTCTTTTGATGGTAAGTTACAACTTACTGTTTTAGTTAACTATAATATTACCGTACTAAAAATTTTTTTAATTCATTTTTAAAACTATCTATTACTATTTTAGGGACTGTCTTTATTTTACTTTAATTTCAGATAGTTTATGACCCGCTTTTCTACAAAAGAATTGGCCAATTACGATCCTGAAATTGAAAAAACTTTGCGATTGTGCAGGAAAGGACAAATATCGTCTCAAAACATAACTTGTAACAGAATGGAGCACCAATTAGAAGATGATAGCAATCCACTACAAATTCCACCACCAGCTCATGTAGAGGAGCAGTTTGATGAAGTGGCGCCAAGACCAGCAAACAGAATCCTAAGGGATTATGCTAGACCTGATCGCTTTAACTGTGAATCTAGTGTCAGAAAACCTCCAGTAGCAGCCAATAACTTTGAAATCAGGACAGGTCTGATTCAAACAATTCAACAATCTTGCATTTTCACTGGTGATCTAAGTGAAGATCCACATAGTCATTTAATTGACTTTTTAGAATTGGTTGAAACTGCAAAGTATAATGGAGTACCTCCTGAAGCAATTAAGTTAAGGCTATTTCCTTTTTCTTTAAAAGGAGAGGCCAAAACTTGGTTACGAAGTTTGCCGCAAGGGTCTATTACCACATGGGACCAAATGACTCAGAAATTTTTAAATAAATATTTTTCCCCTGCTAAAACAACAAAGTTAAGACAGGATATATCTAACTTCTTGCAGACTGACACTGAGTCAGTTTATCAAGCTTGGGAAAGATTAAAAACAATGTTAAGGAAATATCCACATCATGACATTCCTGAACATATGCAGTTGTACATTTTTTATCATGGTTTGAAACCATCTTCTAGAAATGTAATAGATGCAGCTGCAGGAGGTTCCATAATGGGAAAAACCACAGAAGAAGCATTGCAATTGCTTAATGAAATNTAGACATAAAAACATCCAGGATTTCAATGGAGCAATGCAAATGGTGCTGAAAACTCTCAAAATTACCAAAAGCAACAGGTACAGAGTCCACCCGGATATCAAAATCAAAATCATGGACAACAAAATTTCAGGCCTTATCAGCAAGCAACTCCATATCAGCAAAGGCCTCAACAAGGCCATCCAAGTCTTGATGACCTTTTGTACAAGTACATTAAGGTTACTGATGAAAAAATGGAAAGCCAAAATTCAGCTCTAAAAAATCTTGAAATTCAGTTAAGCCAATTGGCAACTCTTGTGTCTGAAAAGATTCAAGGTCCTTTACCGAGCAATACAGAGAAAAATCCAAAAGAACACCTTAAGGCCATTGCCTTACGGTCAGGTATGACTCTTGATGAACCCTATGCAAACAAACAAGAAAAGAATCAATCAAAACAACAGGTAGGCAAGGGCAAAAATGTTGAGATACCCTCTCAACCATCAGAAGAGAAAGAAGCCAAGAAAAAAGAAGAAAAAAATACTAAAAATTTGACTTCTTTCCCTGTTACAATTCCTTTCCCACAAAAGATGAAAAGAGAAAAGCTTGATAATCAATTTGCAAAGTTTTTGGAGATTTTAAAACAAATTCACTTTGACATTCCTTTTAGTGATGCTTTATTGCAAATGCCTTCATATGCCAAATTTCTAAAAGAAATTTTATCAAGCAAAAGGAAATTGGAAAAAGTTTTTGTGGTAATGCTTACTGAAAAATGCAGTTCTATACTTCAAAATAAGCTACCACAAAAACTTGGTGACCCAGGTAGTTTTACCATTCCATGTACTTTGGGAGGAGTATACATTGAAAAAGCACTTTGTGATTCTGGAGCTTCAATAAATTTGATGCCATTTTCTATTTTTAAGAAATTAGATCTTGGTGAAATGAAAGACACAAGTGTTTCACTTCAATTTGCTGTCAAAGTACTAAGAGACCAAGGGGAATAATTAAAAATGTGCTTGTAAGAGTAGATAAATTTGTTTTTCCTGTAGATTTCATAGTACTTGAAATGAAGGAGTGTGCTGATGAACCAATTATTTTGGGTAGACCATTTCTTGCAACAGGCAGGGCAATCATAGATGTCCATCAAGGACAACTAATTTTAAGAGTTGATGAAGAAAGAGTTATTTTTGATATGCAAAAGATACTAAGATTCTCAGAAGATGATACACCATCTTCATGCTTTTCAGTTGACATGATTAATAATCTTATAGATGAATTCAAAGATGATCAATTAATCTCTGACTCAATGGAAAGATGTTTGGTCAAATATGGCACCACACAGGATGAAGATCCGACTATCAAAAATGATGCAAAATTATTGGAAAAAGATTATGAGGAAGGGGACATGCAATTAGAAGAAGTTCAACCAAAAATTGAACTCAAAACTCTCCCTTCTCATTTGAAATATGTCTATCTTGAGCATGAGTTATTTTCAGTAATTATTTCATCTTCTCTAACTACAGAACAGGAAGAAAGATTGATTGAAGTATTAAAATCACACAAAGGAGCCTTGGGATGGACTGTAGAAGATATCAAAGGGATTAATCCAGCAATTTGTACGCACAGAATCCTCATGGAGGATAGCTACAAACCAATAGTCCAAACCCAAAGAAGATTAAACCCAGCAATGCAGGAAGTGGTAAAAAAGGAGATTCTAAAACTTTTGGCGGCAGGTATTATTTACCCTATTTCAGACAGCCCTTGGGTAAGTCCTGTTCAGGTAGTACCAAAAAAGGGAGGTATGACAGTGATAAAAAATAAAAATAATGAACTAATACCTACCAGGACCGTCACAGGATGGAGAGTCTGTATAGATTATAGACGTCTTAATGATGCCACTAGAAAAGATCACTTTCCTTTACCATTTATTGATCAAATGTTAGAAAGAATTGCAAGATATGGGTTTTATTGTTTTCTTGATGGCTATTCAGGGTATAACCAAATACCAATCGCACCAAAAGATCAAGATAAGACAACTTTCACATGTCCTCATGGAACATATTCATATAGGAGAATGCCATTTGGTTTGTGCAACGCTCCTGCCACGTTTCAGCGTTGCATGTCAGCAATTTTTTCCGACATGACTGAAAAGTTTCTTTAAATTTTCATTGATGATTTTACACTCTTCGGCAAGGGTTTTGAGGATTGTCTTCACCATTTAACCTTAGTTCTTAAGAGATGTGAAAAGACAAACTTAATTCTTAATTGGGAAAAATGTCATTTTATGGTTACTGGGGGAATTGTTTTAGGACATAAAATCACTGCTAAAGGGATAGAAGTTGATAAGGCTAAAATTAATCTTATAGCAGGATTACCCCCTCCCACAACTATTAAAGGCATTAGAAACTTTCTAGGTCATGTAGGTTTTTACAGGCGGTTCATAAAAGATTTTTCAAAGATTTCAAAACCACTGACTAACCTTTTAATGAAAGATGTTAAGTTTGAATTTTCAGGTGATTGTATGAAAGCCTTTGACACCCTTAAAGAAAAATTATCAACTGCCCCTATAATTGTGTCCCCTGATTGGAACCAACCTTTTGAGGTCATGTATGATGCTAGTGATACAGCAGTTGGATCTGTTTTAGGCCAGAGAAAAGATAAGGTTTTTCGTCCAATTTACTAATNATCTTGACAACAAAAAATGATTTCGTCGATGAAATTAATGACATGTGATGGATATAAATTATTCATATATTTTAATATAAAAATATAATATTTTAAATATAAAACATGACCAATTTATATCCTATTCTCGTGCTTTTCTAACAATTCGTGCAGGAAAAAGAATACATGGAAAAAGAGAAAAAGAAAGATCTACGGTTCAAGGAAGAAGGATGCATCCGTGACAACTTCATCTAAGACTTTATAAAATCAAGAGATACAAAAGTTATGGCAAATTCTCACCAAAATTTCATGACAAATTGCCATGTCAATTTCTCATCAAGGCCATATGATATATTAATATTATATTGCAATTTCTCACCAAGGCCTTGTAGGAATTTTCCTATAAATAGTCATATGTTTGTAGATGAAAAAGCATCCCTCTTTGTATCCAATTTTCTATCTAGTTTTTTCTAAGTTTCTAAAGAGAAAGAGAAGAGTAATCTTGGTCTCTTCCTCTAATATTTCTCTTTGTAGTAAAAATATTCTTAGTCTTTTGAAAGTATTTTTTAGCTTTTCTTACTTCATAATGGAGTAATTTCTTTTTGTTGGGATAGTTGATGAAGCTTGATATAATTATAATACTATCTCAGTTTCAATACATTCTTGGCCTGAAACTCTATATACATTTCATATTGTGATGGAATGATGATTTTTTAATCATTATTATCACATCTACATATTTTATATCTATGTTATTCTTATATTAATTTTGTAATTCTCACGGAGCAAAATTAATATATAATAACTGATGAATAGAATATTAGAGTGAAAGTAATTTTTAATATGATTATTATTTCAAGTCTATAATCTTGCTTTCCTCAGTTTTAATTCTCACGGAGGAATTTTTGAAGGCAAGATTATTGATTTTCTAGTAAAAATATTCTCACGAAGTTTTTACTACACTTGAGCACAAAATATTAGAGTTAAAATAATTTTTAGTAAGATTATTGTTTCAAGCCTGTAATCTTGCTTTCCTCAGTTTTAATTCTCACGGAGAAATTGTTGAAGGCAAGATTATTCATTTTCTAGTAAAAATATTCTCACGAAGTTTTTACTATGCTTGAGCATAGTTCAGGCAAGATATTTCAGTTTAATCGTCACTAGTTTTAAATCAAATGATTTACATAACCTCGCGAAGTGTTAATTATTTATTTCTTTCTTAGTGTAAAAATATAATTGTATTAGCAATAAGCAATTATTCTTTAGAGAAATACATATGAACCTGAGATTTTATTGTAATGATATATCAAGTGAATTCAACGATTCCCAACTCTTTTTAAATATAAACTTTTCAGAAGAAATTTGTCTTAATTTATAATTTCAAACACACCTCTCATCAATTTGGTTCTCTCAAATAGTAGTCAAAATATTACAAGTCTGTAGCTTGGATTGTCCAATCTCTGTGGGACGATATCATAAACTATAGTAGAATTTGACCGAGTACGAGCAGAAAATCCTATACACATAAGCTTCGTCAGCCAGTTGGAGAGAACTTTCCTTTGGCTTCATCTTGATGCGGAAAAATTTTCTTCAGTACTAGCTGTCCTGGCGTGAATTGTCTCGGCCTGACCCTTTTGTTGAAGGCTCTGGACATCCTGTTCTGATACAATTGACCATGACAAACTGCGTTCAGTCTTTTCCCGTCTATGAGGGCTAACTGCTCATAGCGACTTTTTACCCATTCTGCATCTTTAGGTTCCGCTTCCTGTATAATCCTTAGGGAGGGAATCTCTACTTCGGCTGGAATGACTGCCTCGGTATCGTGAACCAGCATATAAGGAGTTGCCCCAGTTGATGTGTGGACTGTGGTACGGTATCCCAACAAAGCAAATGATAGCTTTTCGTGCCACTGCTTGCGTTTTTCTATCGTTTTCCTTAGTATTTTCTTGATGTTCTTATTGGCTGCTTCTACAGCTCCATTCATCTGAGGTCTGTAGGCTGTAGAATTCCTGTGCTTAATCTTGAACGTCTCACACATTGCCCTCATCAGATCACTGTTGAGATTTGAACCATTATCAGTGATGATTGACTCTGGGACGCCGAAGCGGCAAATGATACGGTCGCGGACAAAGTCTGCCACAACCTTCTTGGTTACTGCCTTATACGAAGTTGCTTCAACCATTTGGTGAAATAATCAATTGCCACTAGAATGAACCTGTGCCCGTTTGATGCGGCAGGCTCGATAGGCCCGATGATATCCATTCCCCAAGCGGCGAACGACCAGGGCGAGCTTGTTGCATTAAGCTTATTTGGAGGCACCTTTATCATGTCTGCATGGATCTGACAGCGGTGGCACCTTCGGACATACTGGATGCAGTCCGTCTCCATAGTCATCCAAAAATAACCAGCTCGGAGTATTTTCTTGGCTAAGACGAAGCCATTCATGTGCGGGCCACAGGTCCCTGCATGAACCTCTTCCAATAACCTGGATGCTTCCTTTGCTTCGACACATCTTAGTAATCCCAAATCGGGAGTCTTCCTATACAGGATTCCTTCGCTGTGAAAGAAGTGATTGGATAGCCTCCGCAGTGTGCGCTTTTGAGTAGTGTTTGCGAGTTCTGGATACTCTCCTGTTGACAGATACTTCTTAATGTCATGAAACCATGGTTTTCCATCTACTTCTTCCTCGACATGAGCACAGTAAGCGGGTTGATCCTGGATTTTTACCGGGATAGGATCAATGAAGTTCTTATTTGGATGCTGAATCTTGGATGATAGAGTGGCCAATGCATCGGCGAACTCATTCTGGACTCTGGGGACATGCCGGAATTCTTTCTTTGTAAACCTCTTCCTCAACTCCTGTACGTGATGCAAGTATGGGAGTATCTTGGAGTTCTTGGTTGCCCACTCTTCTCGAACCTGATGTATGAGCAAGTCGGAATCCCCGATCACTAGTAACTCCTGAACGTTCATGTCAATGGCCAGCTTGAGCCCCAAGATGCAGGCTTCGTACTCGGCCATGTTGTTGGTGCACGGGAACCTGAGTTTGGCGGACACCGGATAATGCTGACCTGTTTCTGATACTAGAACTGCTGCTCCTATGCCAACTCCTTTAAAGTTTGCTGCTCCGTCAGAGAACATTCTCTAGCCATCATAGGATTCTGCAATGTCTTCTCCTATGAAAGAGACCTCCTCGTTAAGAAAATACGTCTATAGAGGCTCGTATTCTCCACCCACGGGGTTTTCGGCAAGATGATCGGCCAGTGCTTGTCCTTTGATCGCTTTCTGGGTCACGTAGACAATATCGAATTCACTCAGCAGGATTTTCCATTTGGCTAGCTTGCCCATGGGCATGGGCTTCTGAAAGATGTACTTTAGCGGATCCATCCTTGATATGAGATAAGTGGTATAGGCACAGAAATAATGCCTCAACTTCTGAGCTACCCAAGTCAGAGCACAACACGTGCGCTCTAGCAGGGAATACCGAGCCTCATACGGGGTGAACTTCTTGCTGAGATAGTAGATGGCTTGCTCCTTTCTCCCTGTTTCATCATGTTGTCCCAAAACACAGCCGAATGCCCCATCCAGTACTGCAAGGTAGAGCAATAGCGGTCTACCCGGTTCGGACGGAACCAGGAATGGCGGCGTTGACAGGTATTCCTTGATTCTATCGAAGGCCTTTTGACAATCATTAGTCCATTTAGTGGCG